AAGAATTTTTTACATTGACTAAATCCTGCAATAAAAAAATTACAACAGCAGACCTTGTGGATATCAAGCATCGTTCAGGATGCGACCATTAGTGTAATCTCTGTTGATTAACAATAAAAAGTGATTAAATTTTAATTGCGCATTCTGCGATAATGAAAATCTTTAACTCAGCAGTAATTTACACAAGTTTTTTATTTCTAAATTTACAAATGATTCAATAAATGATGCTTCAGTCATACCACCAAATGAGAGAAGCTATAGAGGCACAGCCGAGCGCCGCCACCCCCGTGAGAGGAGCTATAGAGGCACAGCCGAGCGTCGCCACCCCCGCGAGAGGAGCTATAGAGGCACAGCCGAGCGCCGCCACCCCCGCGAGAGGAGCTATAGAGGCACAGCCGAGCGCCGCCACCCCCGCGAGAGGAGCTATAGAGGCACAGCCGAGCGCCGCCACGCCACAAAACGATCTCGTCCGCTGCGCCGTGAGCATCTCCGTCGACCGGCGCTCCCGTGACCGAGTAGCGATCATCACGCCAGGCGCAAGCACTTAAATCTTGCGTGACCGGTCGCATGCGATCCAATGTTTCGTGCGCAGAGTTTTGAATTACCGGCGCCTCTGCAACGGCAAATTTCAAAATGAAAATTTTTAATATGAATTGAAAAATCTAAACAGACGTGATTGTTAATGACCTGCTGTTAACTATACTGAGATTAATGAAGGTCCGAGTGATTACTACCACGAGGAATAAAGTGCTGATAATTATCGGTTTAATAACAAAGTGATATTGCTATCAACAGGCATAAGCGAAGTGTTCTGTCTGTATATAATGAAAATTCCTTATTCTGTTTCACGGCAATTTTGAAACCTACAAATTAACCGAATTTGTTGCGGGTGTTCCTTGTGCGAGAACATTTCTCCCCATTCCATTGTTAAATTTCCAGTTATTTATTGTAAGTGCAGATTCTAATCGTTCAAGACAGGATGCGGTCTATTGTGGCCAAATCTCATAGCCGGAGATTTTACTGAACTCCGCATTCGAGTTCGTTCACGTATATTGTAGAGACTTAAGTTCTGATGTTCAATGCTATACAGCATTGGGAGCAAAAATCTTATAACCGAATTTAATAAAGGTAAAATGAATATTTGGTAGAATAATGTGTGCAAATCAATTACGATATTCATACTGAATAATGAAAAGCATGCAAACTTATTACTAAATTTCTTAATAATAAGTGATTTCTTTCTTTGACGCGAATGAAAAATTTTATAAAATAAATTTGAACTGCAGAATCATTACAAAGATTTCACAAACATTTCCTATTTCATGCTTCGATGTAATTTCTTTACTTCAAAGTTGTATACAACGATTTCAAGTGTACAACTTATGTATGAAATTTTTTGTGATTTATATCAAACGAACTCTGACGGGAATAGATCGAAGAAAACACAACTTAAAGCAACAACTCAGAATTGCTTAAATTAATAATTATTCTTTGAAGATGGCATGATTTGAAGTTGATCTATGAGCAAAATATTTTTTGAGACAACAAATTATATGTATATACCTAATTTATATGAATTATTTTCCACATTTTATTGCTTTTACATCGATTAGGAGATGAAATGTAAGCAGGGCTTTGCCTGAATAAATTATCTACCGATAGAAAAGTGTGGAAAAGCAAAGCAAAATTTTTTAGTAATTCGGTTTATTGGTTTTATTCATATTGAGAATGTATCATATTGAAATTTCAGCGATATCGCGTGCAGAAATTTCAATTTGCACTTTCGAGCTTGTAACGAATAATGGCGTTACGTGCAACGCGCTTGGACATTGCTTTCTTGTAGTTCAATAAATACTCTGATCATCGTTAAATATTCACAAAATAAACTCACGCACTGGAAGCCATATTGTATTTGAGAGCAAATGTTGGATTCATAAAATCGTTTTTAGAGCCTAAACTCGAGATTGAATTTTTTCTCTCGAAATTATTCTCCTTGTAACAAGATAATTTTATTTTTACTTTCGTATCGAAGATTTAGGTTTGCCTGGCTTGGTTGATTGCTTGGATTGCTCAAGACTCGGATAAAAGGCGATAAAAAACATGATTTTCACACATAATAAAAAAGTGAGAATTAAATTTTGAAAAAAATTAATTTATAAAAAAATGTTGAGAGGAATTTATAAAAAGAACGAGAACGAAATTTCGAGCAAAAATTTTGCTCGTGATTGGGTATTGAACGAAAATCCTTTAACGTCTGTAACAAAATCGAGGATCGATCTTTCATTACGATATTTACCCATATTTTTAAACTTTTCATTTTGTCTAAAATGAAGAGGATGATATTGGAAAGGTAGGAGTAAGATAAAAAGTTCTCGTCAATAAAAATATTAAAATGCTTGCATAAATGTGCTTAATTTTGAGGATTGATTGTTTTTGATTGCCAAAAATTTTAATAAAATAATAGAACATAATTGATGTCATTTGATGAATATTATATATGCATATACAATCCACGCATTAAAACATGAGATAATAAGGTTCGTTTTAGAGGGTTTTGCATCCAAGAAATTGTTTCGGATCTGATTACAATAAATTCGTGCCTAAATATTACTGAATGAAGAGATATCATTAGGCTTAACTTGAAAACGAACGTAAAAATATTGGTTACAAAAAGTGCTGAATGAAGAGATCTTATAATTAGGCTTAACTTGAAAACGAACGTAAAAATTGGGGTAAGAAAAGTGTTGAATGAAGTAATAATAAAATAATATATAATATTGGTAAGAATAATGGTTAAGTAGACATCAAATGTTCGGTGCTAAGGTCCAACCCATGCAGCCCGAATGTGCATCGGACTCCTAGAGCGCGGCGTTCGTTCCACATCGGTTCTCGCCGTGTCCGCCACGGCAATAACAACCACAATGAAACCAAGCCACGCAGCCGACGACAGTCGCTATAGTGAACATCACACAACTTGAGCATGACATTGCAACAAGCGCGCCATCGTAAATTTTTCCGAAATTAGGAAATGCCATAAAAAAACGTGAGCAATGTTTCGAAATATGGCTTAATGAAGAGCTTGGGATCAAACGTATAATTTTGGTACAAAATCAATTCGCGTTAAGGAAAATGGTTATGTTTTCATTGTAATTTTAAAGAAACCAATAAATAATAATGATTTTCAGCTAAATGCAAGCAGCGCTGAAGATTTTAAAATTTACTAAAATTTCTGTAAAAAAGTCGAAAAAATATCATTAACTATTCTGAAATACTGATACTATTCATTAATACTTCGAATAATAATAATACTAATTCAAAGAGGAAATTCCAGTTAATCTCACTTGATGAGACCATTTCTTTCTGTATACCTATAATTCATATGTAAGAGGCTTCTAAATCCACAATAAGTTTAACTGACAGTATGAGTAGTTCAGGAATTATTACTTAGATTTTTCTTTCTCTATGATAGATTTTGTGCATGCACCTACCTGCAGGTTAGAGGTTATTCACATTATCTCAACTAATGATGTTTTAATTTATGTGTTACTCTAAAACAGTGCAAGGGAGAAATTTTGTTGGTGAAGTGAGTTATAGTGTGTTGCCTTTTCATTACGTTTTGTCAATGCAAATAAAGTGAAATATTTAGCAGGAGTTGTGTCTGAATCATCGATAAAAATATAACAGTTGTGATTTTTCTAATAGCTTTTATAAACATTTGCAGAATATTGGAAACTTTCAATTGCAATGAAGATAATGAGCCTGCTTAATGGATGTAAATATGGTCAAGTTATCTCTATAATCTCTAATTCTGAGGTAAATGAACAAGTCTGGGCTCGATGAAATGTCAAAACGGAAATAGCTTCGCGTTTCCCTCTAACGATGAATCTGGTGATCCCTATGGCGATGCACTCAAAACTTTGAACCTTCACCTTTTGATCTTTGCTGATATTGAGTCAAGCCCGGTCTCGTTAGATCATGCGGCTTTCTACATGCAATCAACGAAGAATTTCATTTAATTACCCAATTAAACTTCTCACTTCAAATGAATACCCAGAAAAATCTAGCGACGTCATGAGCCCCAACTTTCGTCGGAAAAGTGATGGCAGTGAAGCAGGACATTCATTAATTATTGATAATGTGACGAGCTCTTCGGCGTGGCGTCTCCCAGATGTTCAGCCAGCCAGGCGCACCTCCAGTCAAGCAGAGACCAGCACCACACAAACTCAGCCAAACAAACCTCCTTCGTGTGGTAGTAAACATCCTCAGATTATTAATCCACAGTTGTGTAGCCCATTACATACTCAGATAAATAAAACGCGTTCATGTAGCCCCACACATCCCCAGCCAAACAACGCATCCCCGTGTAACCTCACACATCCCCAGCCAAACAACGCATCCCCGTGTAGCCTGACACATCCCCAGCCAAACAACGCATCCCCGTGTAGCCCCACACATCCCCAGCCAAACAACGTATCCCCGTGTAGCCCCACACATTCCCAGCCAAACAACACATCCCCGTGTAGCCCCACACATCCCCAGCCAAACCACACACTTTTGTGTGGCCCCGAACATCCTCAGCCAAACGATGCAAGTTCGTTGCACACAACACCAGTCGCTGTCAGTATTCGCCACAATGCAGGGAATTTCGATTGCCCCGAAAAGTGCCAAACCATCAACGGATCATTCATTGGACCGCAAAAACTTAGTGAAACTTGGGACGGATCACGATTAGGTAATGAATGTGGCAGTATGTCAAACGATGTCGGAGACGATCAATTTAATTATGAAAAACAAAGATCCGATGAACAATATTTTGGATTATTAGGCAAAATAAAAGAATCATGTTTAACAAGATATATCACAGATTCAAGCTCGAAAGGGTCAATGATCGTATTTCTCAGCTCCGCTAAACTTACTACGACAAATACAAAAGAAAGTGAGATCCACAGTGAAGTAAACGAAGAAAAAATACAAGCAAGGCTCTCCATACCATCAAACAAATTTAACAACATGCAAGGATCGCAGATACGGCGAACAAATTCTCAATCAAGAGGGGATATATCACGTGATGAGCCGCCACGCTCACCACCAATATTACCACGAGCAGAGGAAGGCTTGTGGTCGGGTCTCCAGAATGAGAGAGTTGTTGTGCCTTCGAGGAGAGCATCGCGCTGCCGGCGCGGCTTGACTTCACACGGTCGTCGGACCGTGACACTCGTGGCCCCCTTTACGTCAGGTGTTTCCTCTCCTCTCCTCGGTCTTGTCGTGTCTCTCGTTTTACTATTCAGTTTCAGCGATGGTTTCTCTAAACCTTTTGCACCAGGAATCTATAACTTTTCTATACCACATATTTCAGGCCTAAAAAAAGTTTCTTTGAAGTCTTCAAACCATTACTTTGGAGTAAATGATGCATTAGGTTCAAGCAGGTTCGTCGAAACTCCGGTGACGCATCCGGCCGGGGCTGAGGAAGTCGTCTCCCGTCGGCGACTTTCTCCCGCGGATCATAATGATGTCGTAACTAACGATGCTGGCTTCATGCAGGAGCTGCAAGCAGATGACCTGCTCAGTCCTGTGATAAAGGAGATTCGTAATTGCTGCGGTGACTCTCAACTGACCAAGTTTTCTCATGGTGATGGACGAATGAACATTGAACTACATGATATCGAGCCTGCTTCTTTTGTGATTCCATTGGATCAACCTTTCCTGAGCGAAGACAGGCCGAACTCTAAAGATGTCGAGCCAGTTTTCAAGCTTGAGGAAAATGAGCCTCCAAATCCTGGTATAATTGAACCTAAAAATTCAACCCGATTATCCCAATTCCAAGCAAAGAATCTTCCAATAAGAAAATTTTCACTTATTTATGACGATACGAATGTGCCATCAGATTTCAAACTGAACTCCAAAGTCGATGATTCAAAGCGTTACCGGAGAGCAATTATGCCTCACATTTTCGAAAACATAACGAAAGCAGATTTGGTCGTTGTAGCTGGATTAGCCACGGATCTCATTAACTGGCTGCAGAATTCATGGACGAAACCGAAAAAAATTGTTGCAGAAGATTCAATAGGAATGCAGAAGAAGAATAGTGTGAACTGGCATATGAGTGAACACAACAAGGAAGAGCAGAATATTCTACAGAAGAGATTATTAAATAAGAAAAATAAGAAAAGAAAACACAATCTGGCCTCAGCGATGAACGGACTCAATTACAAGGTTTCTAATGGTTTGGTCCCATCTCGGTCCAGAATTGGAGAAGACTTTAATTCTGACAAAGGCTTTGTTAGTGACACTGGGAACGAAAACGATTTTACTTCCTGGAAGAGCGAGTCATACGTGAGGGAAGAGGAGACCGTAGGTGGAGGGGCGTACAGGCCTCCAGCGTACGTAATAAAGCACAAGGATTTGATGGAGGGAAGGCAGCTCTTCGGTCTAGGACTCTTCACCGGCACGCTCCTCAACTTTTTGAGGGATCCCATCGTGCTCTTCCTCATCTTTTGGTTCAATGTAAGTACCATACGCATAGAAAAATTAGGTAGAGTGTCATTGAGTTGTCAATTTCCTTTCAGCTCTCAAGGAAATTGGAAATTATTTTATTTTTCTTCAATTTAAACTGTTTCAAAAAGAGCAAACTCTGTTTCAAAATTTGCTGCATAAATATTTATCCGTTCTAAATAAAATATAAATTCATTTGCTAGAATGAGGAAGAAACTTCTTCCTTGCAGTGAGACGTTAAGAAACTATTCATAATGATTATATGAAGGTTGATATAATTATGTGCAGAGCATAAGGGTTTAAATTATAAGATTTAAATTATTTGAATTATTTGATAATGCAATAGCTGATTTTTATCCCAATATTCGCAGAAAGAGAGTGGTAAGTTTATTTTCATCTCAAGTGGTCACAAATTATGAAATCGCTTTTTGACGATGTAATTCGGCACCGATTTAACTGATTAACTTTTGTCAAGTTTTCGCGAATTTTAGATAAAGAGTAATGGGCACGGTTTGTGTTGAAGATTGAATTTATTTTTCTCACAAATATTTCACCTTTATTTAAAACACATCTATTAAAAGTTTGAAATTAAAATTCCACTTAGAAGCAGATGAGAACAATAATTGTGGATGTCGTTGAAATTTTTTTGTCCGGCTACTTTTCTTTGCGCTATATGTCTTTTTTTAGCTATAGTCCTTTAACTTATTTTTCTTATCTGGAACCATGAAGCGGATAATGAGAATATTTTTCATTGGTTCACCGATTTTTTATTCAATTTTTTAATGGTGTTAACTTTTGTTGGTTGGCAAAAAGTTTTCTCTTAACCGTGTCCATTCACTTAAAACTGAATTCTTATTTATATAAAATTAGGGCTTCCATTTAGTCATATGATATATCGGTTTAAAACTTCGCTCCGCTTTAAGAGGGAGAATTTATTATTTAATTTTCATGATTGATACAAATTTGATATTTTCTATTGAAAATAATATTACATTTATGTCGGATAATGCTGACAATTCATACTCGTACTTTTTAACATGAAATTGGATTAATTTCCTCGTAATTTAAAAAAAATTATCCTCCTGCTCATATGATTAAATTTTCAATAATACATGGCGCCTAAATTCACGACAATTAGACAGGACTCAATCTTCTTTTTTATTGCCGCGTCTCGCCTGTCATCCAGCATGACACTGTACGTCACCGCTATAACCATCATCCTGGCGAATACCATCGCTATAACCAACAGCACTAACTTCTTATTAGACAAAAGACCGTATGTTTTTTGTAAGGCTTTAAATCTTCTTCAAACCAGCCATGTCATGGAAAAATACAACGCTTGAGTTTTTTCATGGTTTTATTGTTTTGTGGTTGAATTACTGCATTATTTTTTTTAAAGTTCACATATTTTGTGAGCTCAGCCCCGCTGGCAGAAACTGTTGCATAAACAGCGCAGGCACCTGTATTTTTACCATAAATATTAGTAAATAAATAAATAAATTTCTGAATAAACAAATAAATTTTTAGCAGCATGTACTCATTTCCACGGACCCCATCAAAGGAAGCTACTTCATCAGTATACCAGCGCAGGAATAAAATTTTGATGTTTAAATCCGGTTTCCTTGTGTAATCACGAGCACCTGAAACTCTTGTAGTTGCTATCCTTACAGAAGTTTGAGCAAGACTTCAATCATCTCTACGTGGTGATGTAAAAACCTTTCTGAATTTCCATTCCAATTGATTTAGTTCAATCGACTGCCTCGGTTTATTACGTAGCTTTGTACACATGTTGACTAAAACACTTATAACCTCATCTATCACTGAGCTGTGGGTTTATAACAAATAATCACATGCACGCAACAATTACCTTCGAGACGTACATATGTTCTAAATAATTGATGTTGCGGGGGAACAGAATGAACTCACTGGTCATTAATTTAGGACATAATATACGAAGTCCTTTTTAACATAATATCTCTAAGCGTCTGTTTTTCTTAAGATTCTTGACAATTTTAATGCATATATCATAGAACTTGTAGACAAATTAGCTAAATTAGTTCTTTAACTTAGTGCAACTCGGTAATAAATGACATCACTAAATCTTTACAGCAACAAGACGTGTCCTTTCCGTTATATTTATATACTGTTATCCAACAACAAAATAAAGATGTTCTCCGTAATTAAAGCTCTATATGCTGCTATTGTAGTATAAAACACGCATGTTTCTTTGCAGACTGCAATCTGTATTTGAGCAGCACAATAAGAAGCGCTGACAAATAGGTCAGGTTGACACGCTCTATGGTCGCCCTGATGACCAAGTCTGTTGTTTCACGGTGAACGCCTGTTGTTCGACTCCTATACCACTCATTACGCCACATGTTAACGCATTAAAACACCCACCGTTACTCATTACGCCACATGTTAACGCATTAAAACACCCACCGTTACTCATTACGCCACATGTTAACGCATTAAAACACCCATCGTTACTCATTACGTCACGTGTTAACGCATTAAAACACCCACCATTACTCATTACATTCGGTGTATCAAGCATGAACCACGTGCTGCTTCCTATCGTTATTCAATAACATGTGTTATTTTTGTTATAATTTGCGGATAAGTATTGTAAAGTTTTAAATTGAAATTATTTGCTGTCTATCCTGCTGACTTTGGTTTCCTTTTCATCTTTCCAATGAACAGTTAATTGCCGGAAATTAGTATTTTTTGGAACATAACAGAGCAAGCAAGTTAGCCTCAGTTAATTCCCGAGAATATTTCCATTATTACCCATTTCCTGTTAAATAAGGCGAACGGGTTTGAATACAACGAAAAAAATTATTAAAGTGTGAAGGTAATTGCTGATGTTCAGTCAGTAATGCTAGCTGGTTACTTCCAATTATTTAAAATTCTTAATTGGCAAAACCTCTTGAAAAATGGGCGTTTCTATAAATAACTAGGAAAAATTTTTTCTGCGATTCTGACACGTTTTCTCGGGATAAGGTTAGAGAAAACACGATGATTAATGATTAACAAAATTTCATGGTTCTATATCGATTATCAGCACTTTTTTGTAGCAGTCGAGTAACATAACTCATTGAAGAACTCATATTCATCTAAAGTATGTGGATTTCGGAACAGTTTTGTATATACATATATGCATGGCGCGGCCTTTAACCGACTCCCATTCTTCTTCCACCAGGACAGAGAGCAGGGTATTTCATTATAAGATATTCTGTGTGAATTGTAATTCACCTCATACATGCACTATGGAAAATAATTGAATCACGAGCATCATTATCCACAAGAAAGAACATCATCTTAGAGGATAATGAGTCTTATATATGTTCGTATTTAGCATCGAAATTTTTGGCTGTCAAACTGCAACGTGTATCTGCAACGTTGCAAACAACGAACAATTTCAGCAAAAAAAAAAAATTAATTTTCTTCGAGCGAAACCGAGCGTTGCTTACAGCATCGCGTTCTATCACAGAAATCTAATTTACAATGAGGTTTAAAATGACAGTGTAAATGACGGCTTGATTTTTAGACGCGCGTATATAATTAGAGCTCAATCGAGGCTGTGATTTTCTCGAGACTGCGTAGGTTAAGCGTGAGGAGTTTGCGGTGAACGATGCGCTGTTGTGACGGCTGTTCCGTTACATCCATTACGGAATTTAAATAATGACACCTGACATATATATTGAGAAAACCTTCGTGATTTTCTAGTTTAAAAAACTTATAACTTGCAATGTTGAAGAAATCGAAAAAATATAACTCAGTACTCACTGCAGTGAAAGATAGAGAGCTAATTTTCTCGCCGACGAAAACGTGAAGTCACGGACAGACGGACGGACAGATGGACTTGACGAGCACAATAACGCCTTTTGCCCATAAATGAGAAAATTGGCGAAAATTTTTGAACAAGAGATTGCAGTCAGAAAAAACAAACGTAAAGTTATCTTATTCATTGGTGTCTTGCTTGAATTGTTGCTTACTTCTAAGAATTTCAGCATTATATTGTGAACCGATTTGATCAGTATAATCTACGGATATAGAATTATTGTTCTGTTTGCACGAAGTTTTATCAAACTACCCGGTCCTTTGGTTTTTATTCGCCGCAGCCAAGAGCGATAAATGTCGAGTAATAAGTTTTTTCATAAACGATCATAACCGGTGCTTGATCCATCATAACCGGTGCTTGATCCATCATAACCGGTGCTTGATCCGTCATAACCGGTGCTTGATCCGTTATAACCGGTGCATGATGCCGTATTTATTTTGCTCCAATTCAACTCCTGCAACGCACTTGAGATTGAAGCGCTGCTATTAGATCATAATTTTTTAAGTTACTCCTACATCATAATTTAGTTAAAAAACTAAAAAATCAATTTGAGACGTTAAGATGAATAGGATGCAAAATCATAATTACTCTAATTTTAAAATTTGAATGATCGGCATTTTAAAATTGGAAAAAATCCCTCGAATTTGAATAGAATTGCAATTTGAATAGAATTTGTAGAATTGCAGCGACAATGTCATGAAAACCTGAGTCCCCAAAATAGATCGCTTTATCTATAGTACGAAGACTTGAATTATTGAAAAATTTTAATTGAAATTAGCTATGTTTCTAATAAACGTAGAATGTTTTTCTATTAGTTTTTATAATATTCGAATGAGACCAACAAAAATAATATTAAAAGCTAAAACTTCTTATGAGATATAAATCATGCCGAGATTCTTTCTGATATTTTCTTGTGTGCCGCAGAAAGAAAATATTCTTTCGTATCACGAATTTCTTTGCTGTGGTTAAGAACCTATGCAGAAAAGAATTTCTAGTCCACGAAAAATTTAATTTGATTAAAATTTAGTAAAGCTACTGTTAATTTCACGCTGGGACGCTAACGCCAGCTCGATTTTTTTATTGGCTTGGAAACTGATGAACGCCTGGGATGCACGTGGTAAAAAGCTTTGTTAGTGACTTTTGTAAGGATGCTGATGAGTGAGCCACG